ATTTCATTTGAAAATTCTTGGGTGATACATTTATGTGAACTGAAAATAGAATTGCAAATATACAAAAATAATTGATTTTTTGGTGAGATCTTTTTCAGTGATCTTGAAACCTGTTCTCAAATTCCTTTATCAAAACACAAAGTATGGCTGCATATCTTTTGCTGTTCACTCAACCGTGTTTAGCCAGTGTATCACAATATATACAATTATTTGCCATAACTGAGTTGGCATAGCACCTCCGGGGTCCCAGTTTCAGTGCGGGCAGTGCCTGCTACCAGTGGCTGTTGTGGGTGATGGGTGTGCTCCAGGGGCTGGGCTGGGGCACTCTGACCCCATCAGTGTTAATAGTGTCTTGTGGTACGCACATTGTATGTGAGCTTGTTGGCCCACAGATGATTTCAAACCTGAAACTACTAGTTTTCCTTGAGCTGGGATATCCTGCCTGGAATTGCAAAAGGGACCTTTCCTGAAGAACTTCAAGCCATCTCGTTTTGCTGACTTTCATGATATGCTGCTGAGGGCAAATTGGTCATAACATTCTGCAGTGCATCCATATAGTGAGCAAGCATAACTTAGCCCACATGCTTTTGAATGCACACAATCTGGTTTGCTGTAGAGCTGAACCTTGAATAGGCTACTGCAGGAAAATAGTGTGAAGAATTCAGCTTGAACCTGCACTTGAGGCAATTTCTATGTAGTTGCATATATCATAAAATCACAGACTGTCCTAAGTTGGCAGGGACCCATAAGGATCGAGTCTAAATCCTATATTATGTATACATATGTAGTAAACTCAGCTAGCCATTTGTGTGATACCAGTTTGTTCATAATTTATTGTTAGCACCAGGCTAGAAGTGAAAGTCATTTTGAAGTTCATAGTTTCTGAAGCATTAGGACTCCTCATGCCATATACTTTTTCTGCATTCCATTTTATTCTGTTCAGTAATATTCCCATAGAATGGCTCGTATTAAAAGACCTTAAAGATCATCTAGTTTGAATTCCTCTGCTTATGGACAGGGCTGCCACCCACGAGATCAGGTTGCTTAAAGCTTGCCTGGCCTCAAACACCTCCAGGGATGGGGCTTCCACAACCTCTCTGGGTGGCCTGTGCCAGTGCCTCACCATCCTCTGAGTAAAGAATTTCTTTCTAACATCTTATTTAAATCTCTCCTTTAGTTTAAAAATGATCCCCTTGTCCTATTGCCATCAGACCATGTAAAAGGTTGGTCTTCCTCCTGTTCATAAACTCCCTTTAAGTACTGGAAGGCTGCAGTGAAGTCTCCCTGGAGCTTTCTCTTCTGCAGTCTGAACAACCCTATCTGTCTTGGCTTTTCTTTGCAGGAGATATGATCCAATTCTCTCCTGCAATATTATGTTCTGTACCTTTGCTCTTCTCTCTGTGTTCAACAGCAGTAATGTTAGAAACTGACTTCCAGAACCTCTTATTTTAAAAAGCACTGTTTATTATAAATGACTACCTCATTTATAATTTAGAAATTAATTTTCCAGTAGTGTTATGAACATGCCAATAGACAAATAGAAGGTCTACCTGTAGAGCTGATGGAAGCCAATAAGAATTTTCTGACTAACTGAATTTATATGCATGTTGATAATAGTTTTGTGACATGGCCTACTTAAAACTTGTCATATTCTATCATTCTCATGACAAAACAAAACCACTATGATCAGCGTTAGAGATGATAGAGTTTTATTGCAGAATATTTATTCTTGAGTAACTAGTATTCATTTTTAATATGTAAACTGCCATGTAAACTACAGACATGTTAGAATTCTACAACCCTAAGTTCTCCATGAATTTGATTTTTTTTTTTTTCCTTCAGTCATTTGCAGACTGAATGAACATTTGTTCATTTCTGGGTGAGTAGAAAGGTATTTTTCCTTGTTTTCCCTTCACTGCCCATGAAGGTCTAAATGTAGTCAGGATGTGACATGAGTGTTCAGTGTGGAAAATTTCCTCGCACAGTGTCTCTATTAAAAACATGTACATTTTAGATAGAGCTGAGATTTTTGCCCACATCAAATGAACCTTTATGCATTTTATTGTATTTCTGATTGCTTTTTGCTATCTAAAAACCTGAAGGTTCGAAATTCCCCTTCTTCTGTCTAGACATTTTGGCTACCTGCTCTTAGATGTCTATAGTTGAAAGAATTGACATGTAGTTGCTTGCCAGGGATGCACAAGTGAAAGGAATCCAGCATTTTAAAACCATTCAGCAATGATAAAAATCAGATCTGCAATGATTTGTGATGTCTGGAAAGTGAAATCAATACACAACATGCTTTTTCTGTTTGTTTTTAAGTTGTCTGTATCTGTATCGCTATCATTTTAGCAAATACTTCTTCAGTTGTACAAGCTAT